CGGTGTGTTTCAGCATTGGTTAACTTCTCTGCTTATCATCAAAAATTATCATCTTCGAAACAGCACAGTGACAGTCTGTTTGACATTATCCATCATTTTACAAAGCAAAAGTTATTTGGTATGTACCCCTGTAGCGTGCCGTGACATTTCATGATAAGGAAGCTGTGTTTTTATAAGAAGCCGACTTCCAGGAGCAATCAATTAATGTTTTTTTAAACGTATTTTTAATACAGTGGAACCCCTATAAGACGAGTTCCTATAATTACAGTTCCTATAAGACGGCGAAAAAATTGTGGCGGTATCCGTACACAACGGTAAAAAATCCTCTTATAATTACGTAAAACGTCATCGGGCAGCCGAACTACTTTCCCGCCGTCTAGCGCCACGCTACGCACAGTTTAGGCGGTTAAATTGAGTTTAGTTTCGTCTGTACATATAATTATATATAAATTAGGTACTGTATATATAATTATATATTAACTTAATTTATTGTAACTTTATTATAATTATGTATATATGCTCTCCGCCGTCTAGCGCTACGCTACGGAGAGTTTAGGCGAACTATCGTCTGTACAGTATGTAAATTAGCTACCGTAAGTCTAATACAGTACTGTAATTTTATACATTTCGTGTGAAAGAAACATTCCTTATTCAACGGCGATTAAAATCTATATATATAAAAATGAATGTATGGTTGTCTGTCTGTGTGTGTGTGTGTCATTCATGCATTACCACACCGTTTATCCGGTTGGCGTGAAACTTTGGGAAGTTGTTTAATATACTCCAGCGAAGGTTTGTGGCATAGTACGATTGCCATGAAGCTTTGGGAAGTTTTTTAATACACTCCCGCGAAGATTTCTGGTATAGTACATTTTTCCTACGATAGATGGCGCGCGTGTCTATAAGCATTTCACCATGTGTTCGATAGATTTCAAATTGTAAAGATCATTTCCTCCCTCCAAAAAATATCTCTATATATGCATTTGTTGTTTACGATATTTGTAGTAATTTTTGTTTAATCACTTTATTTCAACTATTTTTTTGCTAATTACGTATTCGCTCGAACTTTGTTAAAACCTTAACCGTATCCCGAACAACAACCGAAGTTGTAGAAGGAAATTCGCCTATTTTTACCGATCTAGGGATCCCCCTTTTCCAAATTTTAATATCGACTCAAAATAATTTAAAAAGACAAATTACAATAAAACGGTTTATTATCCAACTATCAGAAATTTCACATGCCAAGGAAGAGAGGAAGGAGCAATTAAATAATTAAAATTGTAAAGGATTAAAAAAATATATATATAAATGGGGAATATCTCACTTCTGACAATCTCTGCGAGTATGTAGGCTAAATTTAAAGAATCCGTGCTTCTCGCATGTACAACTGTATGTGGCCGGCTCACGCGTCGGAAAACCTTCCGATTTATTCGTGTACGTACCAGACGTTCCAATAAAAATGTTCAATAAAAATGTTCAAATTCAATAATTTTCAATAAAAATGATAAAATGTAAATTGAATTTTATCATAACGAGTTCGCTTGAATTTCCTTTCTTCTGAGATCGCAGCAATGCGCGACGGGTAAGCTAGTTTACTTATAAATTTGTTGTATTTCAGCTAGAGCGTGTTTACATTTGTTTCGTGGGATCCATTTGTCTCTAGACTATTAGGTTTTACAATAATGCCTTAAAATAAATAAATAAAAAATATTGAATTTTAAGCTTAATGGACGTTTATCTATAAGCAAAAAGAATTTCTATTTCATTTTACAGAAAAAAAAAAGCATTAACAAGCATCTTCGTCAGGTGAAAAAAAATAATTAAAGAAGTAGCAAATTAATTACTTTTATTACTTGTTACTTGTATGAATTTACGGTTAACATTATTAATGTATTTAATTTTTAAATTTTCAAAAATTTTAATAATAACTCAGAAATCCTGTTACAAATGACAAATTCTCCTTAAAAGTTATTAAGTCGTTGTTTGAAAATTTCGTGAAACTTAACATGAATAAAAAGAAATGATACGTATTATTAATGAAATTTCCCTGTGTTATAATAATAAATGTGGTGTTTCAATACCGAAAAACTTTTCATTTGACAAGCATTACAGAATTGAAACGACTTATATTGTTAAATTAGAGATAATATATATATATATTTAAAATAATTAACACATAATATCACTAATACGTTATAACATAAACAAAATTAAGTAACGTTTAATTATAATTATAAAATAGTTAAATGTTAACTTGGTAATTAAACTTTTTTCATCTGTATACAGTTAGAATATAAGTTTATTTCTTAATTCTACGATGCATGGATATAAACAAATATTCTACTTCAATAAATATCTTCATCCTCTAGATAAAATATTTCTGTTTATTATAAAATAAATATTTTACTTACGACATTTAATAACAATAGAGGTGGCGTATACAAATATAATGATTCTTAGTCTCATGTCTTTTCCCTCTCGGCTTCAGCTTCCGAAAACTTTTAATCTATATATGATTGTAAATAAACATGGAATTTCTGCCAACGATATCGATTGTTTCGTAAATTAATGCCAGTTTCGTTTCGTGACTGTTATCTATAGGAACAGATATAATAATAATATCCGTATTTAATAGTAATAAGTAATTATCCTGGTTAAAAATATTTTGCGTTTCTTCCTTCGTTAACTAAAGAAAGACAAGTGAAAATGT